GCTGTGGCCGGGCGCCCGACTGGCAATTCGTGCACGCCTCTCGCTCCTCGTCGGTGGCTGTTCGGCCCTCCCCACGGGAGGAGGAAGGACGAGGACGAGGAGGAGGACGAGGATCGACCGAGGGTGCTGGGAGACCACCATGGGGGCGATCACAGGAGGAGGGAGAGGAGGAGGAAGAGGAGGAGGAGGAATGCGGAACTCGAAAATCCGTGCAAGAACTCTACGGAGCTGCTGGCGGTGGTGCGCAAGAACGCAATGCAGCTTGCAGACCAAAAGAGGAAGAGGAGGAGGAAGCGGAGGAGGAGGAGGAGGAGGAGGGAGTGGAGGGGAGTGGGAGGAGGGGAAGGGGAGGGGAGGGGGAGGGGAGGGAGGGGAGGGAGGAGGGGGGGGGGAGGGGAGGGGAGGGGGAGAGGGAGGAGGGAGGGGGAGGGGGGGAGGGGGAGCTGGATAGAACGAAGGGGATACGGGGGAGGGATAGGGGGATGACAGGAGGGGGAGGGGGGAGGGGGGAGGGGGAGCTGGGAGGACAGGGAATGGTGGTGGAGCTGGAGGGGCGAGGCGCACGAAAGCCGCAAGCGCCCAGGAAGGAGGGAGGAAGCTATCGCCGCGGGCGAGCGGACGTCGACGGGGCCCGGGGCTCGGAGGCCGCAGCGGGCACGGCGGGGACGGCCAGGACGCACCAGGGACGCCGCGGGGGCCCCAAGAGGGCCTCAAGAGGCCTCCAAGAGGCCCAAGATGGCCTCCAAGACAGCCAAGATGGCCCCAGGATGCCTCCAACACGGCCCACGATGCACCCAAGACGGCCTCCAGAAGGCCTCAGACGGCCCACGAGGGGTGCCCGCCGCGGCGGAAGAAGGCCCCCCTGATCGAGGGAACGGCTACCGCCGCGAGAGCGCTGCGGGTGCCTGAACGAAGGCCGTCGGAAAATGCACCTTGATGCCCCACGTGGGGGCGGATTGAAAGCTTGCGTCTGTGTACCAGGCCGCTCGCGACGACGATCGGGCAAGGTGCCAGGCAAACTAGGTGGGGGCGATGTGACCCTCATGGGAAACTACATTGCGACGCACCGCCTAGGTCAAGGTCACGGCCGTTTGTGCGTCGCTATCTTTGATCAGCCAGTTCGTTTTATGGAATGTGGCGCGTACCGGCATCTACATGGATAAGCTAAGTCCATCTCTGGACTTGTTCCGGGCCCGCTCTGGGCCCCCTTTTGAGAGAAATTGCCCGCTCTGAGCTGTATGGAGCGCGACGAGGCAGAATCATAAAGACCAACGAAGTCCCCGCGACAGCCCGGCCCTGAAGAGAAAACGCCCTCCACCCGTGTGACTCCCGGCCTGGAGCTATGGCTAACATGCCGCGAGGTTTCGAGCGAGGGCCTCTTTTTGACAGGGGAAGGCCCTCCGCCCGTGGATCGTGACGCTGCCGCAGCAGCAAAGTCCGAGGACGTCTCCGGCAGGGGCCCCTGTTTGGAACGGAGCTGCTCTGCGTCCGTGCACCTGGCGCAAGCAGGTGAGAGGCATGTGCGCGGAGCCGTGGCGAGAACCCTATGGATAAAAACGGATCGCGCCCTCCATCGGTGTGCTTGTTGGACGTTCGAGAGACGAGTGCGCGCGGCGCGAATGCGAGGTCCCCGTGCAAAAGATCACCCGCCCTCCATCCATGCAAAATTGCTCGGCTGCTCTTGAGAGGTGAGCGTGCGCGGCGCCACGGCGAGAGGCCTGTTTGAAAACACCCGCCGCCCTGCATCTGTGCGACTGCTGGTTAGAAGTTGCTCGGATGAGTGTGCGCGGCACGAGAGCTGCACTTTGCAAGCGAGTCGCCATCCATCCGTGTAACTGTTCCGGGAAAGGCAAAGGTACCCAGACCGCCACCCTTCCTTCGTTTCCCCCTTTTGGGGCCTCCTGAGAGGCCCTCGTCGCCACCGCTGGTTTCGCCTCGAAATTAGGGTCAGAACACACTCCGTGAGAGGTCCGGGAAGTAGCGGTGTCGGTACATTTTGGTTGTCCCGTTGTTGGACACGTCAAGCTCCAAGAGGAAGCAGTGAGGAGTTCTCAGGCAGAACGCCCAGCCCGCCCTGACGAAGCGTCTGGTGGTGCGACGAGGAAGAGTGATGTAGAAGGACGATGAATGTATGGGGCGGCTGAGGAGGAGGGGGGCACCAGAGGAGGAGGAGGAGGAGGAGGAGGAGGAGGAAGAGGAGGAGGAGGAGGAGGAGGAGGAGAAGGGAGGGAGGGAGGGAGGGAGGAGAAGCAGTAGCAGGAGGAGGAGGAGCGGGATCGAGCAGGAGTTGGAGGGAGGAGGAGGGTGAGGGACGGAGAGAGGAGGGAGGAGGGAGGGGTGATCACGAGGAGAAGGGGGACAGGGAAGATGAGCAAGAGACAGAGGGGGGAAGAGGAGGGAAGAGGACATCGGGGAAAAGAGGAGGAGGCCCTGCCGTAAGGTATCCGAAAAGAGCAGCGAGTGATGCTTCGCACCTTTAGTTCTCCAGTGGCCGTGGATGGTATTCCTCAGTCAAGTCTCATGCCTCTGGCACGCAGCCACCCGGTAGCTGGTCAGGCGTCAGGCCAGAGGAGGCCGCCAGCTTGGCCGCGTTCTCGGCGGGCACCGACTTGGTGCTGGGGCGGAGTGGTGCTGTCGCCGATGCTTTATGGAAAAGGGCACCGTCCTCGCCGAGTCTCGCGGTGCAGAGGTTGAGACGCGTGCTCGACCGAGGGAGGGTCACAAGTCCTCACAGACATGGCAGACTAGAGGCCCCTTGTTTGAGAGCTTCTTCACCTGTCGGCGTATTTCACGGAGTTCGTTTGCCAGAGTGACTCAGTGGATTGCAAGCGAACCATCGACGTATCGAGCATCGTGGAATTTGCATGTAGCTACATGAAGGTATCGCAGAATGCTATGTCTCTTTCATGGCCAAGGGGTTGCAAGCCAACTTATCCGCAGCAGTCCACGTTGCACCTGACTGTGCCATGCAAACGCTCGACCTCGCAGACGTTTTACTTTTGGGGGCAGGTGTGCGACTGCCGCGCGGCCAGACCCGTAGCACAGCGCTCCGGGATGAGCGGCGCCGATGCCGGCGGCAAGAAGAAGAAGATCAAGCCCGGCTCGTTCCAGGGTCTAGGAGCCCTCCAGCCTCACCGCGCAGAGCGTTTCTTGAAGTTGACCCATGTCCCTTGCTCAACCACACTGTTGGTCCCAGGATTTGGAGTCTGGTTGCTCCAGACGGGCGCATTTCCAGGCGTTGCGGAGATGCGTTGTGGCGGCTTGGTTGCAGCCAGCGGAAATGATGTATGTCTCTGCGAAAGGAGGGAGAGGAGGAGGAGGAGGAGGAGGAGGAGGAGGAGGAGGTGCAAGAAGAAGAAGAAGGAGAGAGGTTCAGCACGGGCCAAGTGGAGCTTATGCTCCATAGGCAGCGGCACATCACCTCCTGAGCACCCGCAGCCTTGACCCCCTTCCACAGGCGCCATCCCCCTCCCATGGCAGCACCCCCCTCCTCCACGGGCCGCCATACGCGTCCAGCCGTGCCCACGAGGGCGACCATGGAGGCCCAAGAGAGGCCTGAAGCGTCCAAAGAACAGCTCTCGCTCGTCATCCCCCTCCTGGCCAGTCCACGCTCTGTCTGACACTAAAGCCAGAACCCGCCTGTGCTTGAGCAGCAGCAGCAAGAGGAGGAGCAGCACGTTGGGCGCGGCTCGCAGGCTCCGCGTCGGCACCCGGGCTGCGAGCGGCCGCTCGAGGTGGCCATGGCCGCCATGCTTCTGGACTGCCGTCATTGGGTGCTGTTTTGCTTCGGCTGCACGTGGGAGCCAGCAGTTGCGTGCGTCAGTTTGCCCTCGCGGCGCCTCCGTCCGCAGGCGTCCCCGTGCCCAAGCGGCTCCACTGGCGGCGACGGCGTCTTGCTTTCGCCCAGGTGTTCCGCTGCAGCCTGGCTCAGTCCAAGGCCCGTGCGCGGGCTCGGGCGAATCCCTTGTCGTCGCATGCCAACCTCCGCAGGGCTGGGCCACCTCCGCAGGGCTGGGTAAAACAGCGCGGGTATGCTTGATCCACCTCCGCAGGGCTGAGCCAGACAGTCTACAAGGCCATCATGAAGATGGGGTACAAGTTGCCGACTCCCATCCAGAGGAAGACCATCCCGACCATCCTCGAGGACTCATTTGCAGCGGTTGCGCCTAGCCTACATTGACGTGTTGCCGCCGCACGTTGACGGTCACGGCCATGCGTATTTGTATATCCGACCTGTCTAGCGCACACGGTGTGCACACTTGTACGTTTTTATTGTAGTGGCCTCCGGCCAGTGCCGCCGATCCGGGGCGTTCCTGATGTTATTGTTGTTGACATGGACGATGACGACGACAACGGACGACCAACGGTCGACGAGCGGGATAATTACGACGACGACCGACGAAAGAGTTAACGACGACGAACTGACGTCGACGACGACGACGACGACGACGACGACGACGACGACGACGACGACTGACGGCGAACGGCTGCCGACGGCCGACGACCGACGACTGGTGACGGCGACGGGTGGAAGGTTCTTCGTTCATCGCTTTCGCTTCCGAGCAACACCAACTCAGGCCGTGCACCTCTGGCCTGGCAGCACGCGAGTGAGCGCCTCTTGGGGCCTCTTGGTTCTTGGGGCTTCTTGAGGGCCTTTGGGGCCTCTTGGGGGCCTCTCGGGGTCCTCTTGGGGGCCTCTTGGGGACCTCTTGGGGGCCTCTGGGGGCCCCTTGGGGGCGCCTCGGGGGCATCTTGGGGGTTCTTGGGGTCATCTTAGGGTGGAGGACTAGAAGGGTCCGTTCGGGTTCACCCTCTTGAGGCCATCTTGGGGGCCTCTCGGGGTCGTCTTGGAGGGCCTCCAGGGCTATATTGGGGCCCTCTTGGACCGTGTTGGCTCCTCTTGGGGGCCTCTTGGGCTGTCTTGGGGCGATCTTGGGGGCCTCTTGGACCGTCTTCGGCGCTTCTAAGACGGAAAAGGCGATAATGTTAAAATGCTTCAA